TTTGCCCGTTAATCACAGTTAAAAGAAGTAATGAGCGTCTCCCCAAAGCCTGGGTGTTTCTCTGCAGATTAAGCAGCAATTTGCATAGCCCCTTTATTCATTCCCACCTTCCCCTGTGGGGCGGCTTGTCCTTTCAGACACAGCCAAGCGCAGCCGGCGGTGGGAGCAGTTTGACAAATGGCTTTGCCTTGCGCCATGGTTTGGGTGAGAGGGAGGGAGGGAGATGCTGGGAGGAGAGGGCAGCTCCCGACAGTAATGGATAGCTGGGGCGTTAAATAGTGCAGAACTTTTTATTAGACACATAGGAGAAGTTTAAATATTCAAACTGGTTTTCTTTGAAGCCTAAGGAAGGAGAGGAGGGTGGCAGGGTGGCTAAGGCAGAGTTTACTCAGGGCCAGTTTATTCAGAGGCCTGCTTATCCCTGTCTCTAGAGAGGAAGGGCATCTGGAGGACACAGGCAGGATCTGGGTCAGCTGGTGCCCCTGGGCGCCACAGTTTGGCAGCAGCCTTGACATTCTCTCCTGCTGGGCTGGGTTCTGCCAGGCAGGATGGCAGCCTGAAGACTCCTCAGGGTGCAAAGTGGTTTGTCGAAAGCCCACCACGCAGGCAGCATTCGGGAGGTCCCAGCTTTTCTAGTAAGACTGGGTCTGTGTTACAATGATACTGCTGAGAGTCAAGCTCAGTGTAGCTACAACCCTTTGCTCTTCTCAAACTGGGAAAGAGGTGGAGAGACAGTGCTCTCTCCCTGGGTAGTGAAACAAGTTTAACCATTAGTTTGGTTTTGTTTTCTGTGTGTAGGGGCATGGGGTTGAGACAGGGTTTCACTTCATAGTCTAGGCTGGTCAATCCACTTTATTTTTTTCTGGTGCTAGGGATGGAACCCAGGGCCTTGCTCTGGTTAAGCATGTACTCTATCACTGAGCTATACCCACAACCCATAGTCAGCCGCCTCTCTTTTGAGACAAGGTCTCTTTATATAGCTTAGGCTATCCTTGATCCATGATCTTCCTGTCTCACTTAAAATGGACTGATTATAAGCCTAAAGTAGAGTCACACACCTGTGATTCCAGCCCTTAGGAAGTTGAGGGAGGATGATCATGAGTTCAAGGATAGCCTGGCTACATAGAGATACTGTCTCAAAACAACACACACACACACACACACACACACACACACACACACACACACACACCACAAACATAAACCAAACCAAAAAATAAACAAAAGTCAGCTCTTGGTCTCCCAATTTTCTTCCCAAACTTCTGGTTGTTTATAGGACTCTCCCTTGTTCTAGCTGGTGAGTCATGTCATATTTCAGTGTTCAAATTTACCTCAGAGATCATTAAGATAATTGAAGTTCAGAGAAGTTTGAGTCTCCAAGGGGGACATAACACTAAGATCCAATCCCCAATCTCAAGGAATTGTTTGGGTCAGACAGACACACTGGGTTTTAAAATGCAGCTGAAAGGCTGGGGATGTAGCTCAGTGTAGAGGACTTGCCTAGCATGGGGGAGAGCCTAGTTTAGTCCCTAGCACTGCCAAAAGAATAATGTGTCCAACATGCACACGGGGCTCAGAAGGGAGGAAGGAGAGGGACGGATTCTGTTGAAGCAACTAGAATTATTCAGAGATATGTCTGGGCCTCATCCTAGTTGGTCAGGAGGGAGCAAAGAAAAGCCTCAGGACATGGTGGACACATGAAACTGGCATCTTGGGTGGGTATAAAGGGCTGGGCTGCTAGACTAGGAATGTGAGGCTAAGTGGTCCTGAGTCTAAACAGGGAAATGAAGGCCAAGAGGGCCTAGTAACGAAGAAAAGACAAGTCTGAGAGGGGCAACGGAGACTGGGAGGAGACCAGGATGATCAGAGATGGATGGGGGATAATGGATTTAGTGTGGGACATGCATCATGGACACACTGGGCCAGGATCAGACACAAGTTGCTAGCCTTAGTCCAGAATATTTCCACCCTACACCCCATCCTATGCCCTGCTCTGGCAACAGCTGACATTGGGCTATCCAGTCCGTTCTAAGTGCTGTACACATCACATTACCTCCCCCTGAGGTCAGCAGAATCTTTGTCTTTTTTTTTTATAGTGGAAGGGAATGAAGCATAGAGAAGTCCAGGGACTGGTCCCAGATCACACAAGGAATAGAAACAGTACCAGGAATTAGCCCAGGCAGCCCAGAGCTCACAGCAACATTACATTGTTTTCTTGTTATTATAGTTTTATTTTTTTGAGACGGGGTCAAATATAGCCCAGGCTGGTCTCAAACTTGCTTTATAACTAAGGATTACCTTGAAGTCCTTGGTCCTCTTGCTGCACCTCCCAAGTGCTAGTATTATAGACATGTGCCACCATGCCCAGCTCATGTGCTTATTTTTGGTGCTTAGATAGAACCCAGGGCCTTCTGTACACTAGGTAACAGTTCATCACTGAGCTGTTTCCCAATGTCTTGCTATTATTTTATTAGATTATATGTGCTTGTACTAGAGTGGGGAGAATACACAAATGTCAGTTTAAAGGTGAAATACACATTAGCAGCAGGACAGATATGTATGAACAGGCAGAGAGAGTCACAAGACCCGGGTTTCTATAAGCAATGTCTAGGGAATTGAAAAGCATGCCTGAGTGAGCAGGATCACAGTCCCTAAGGCTGGGTGTGCTTTTCTTTAGCCCTGGACTCTGGACCACTGCTGTAGAGCAGGTAATTGGATTATAGAGAAAATGAGCTTGTGTTTGGTTCGTTCCTGTCCTTCACCCTGCACTGGCAATGGAGGCAGATGAGTTGCAGTTGTACAGGAGTCCACATACCCCTGACACACCATCAGCAGGCACTGGGGCTGGGCTGCCACAAACAATGGACAATCCTTAACATTCCACTTAGCCCACATTCATGGTCAGCCAGGCAGGCAGTGATGTGAAGGATTCTGGAAAGGCAAGGCTTCTTCCTTATGTGAAGCAGAGACACATAGGACACCTAAGCACAGGTGGTGGGAGAGGAGTCAACATCAAACTACGCTGCTCTTGGCAATGAATTCACACACTGAGGATGGACTCTTGGCCTGTGGCCTCCCTCCTTCCCTGAACTTCTTTTACAACTCTGGAAAGCTGACTTCTGGGAACTTGTCTTCAAGTTTTTAAGGAGCCCTCAATTCTCCCTTCCAAGAAGATAAGTCAGGCCAGGAAGAAGAGTCTTCTTTGGTGCCCCACCACCCAAAGCTAAGAGCTCCTGCACAGACAGTGTTCCAACAGCTCAATTCATTAACTTTTAGGACGACCCTGTGGCACTCTAAGGACAACCAGCAGGAACCTAAATGTCCCAGAATTCAAGTCAAAGACCCCAAAATCCAACTGCTCTCATAGCCAGCCAGATGGGCCCCTTTGGTGTGTCTGGCCTGGTCAGGAGGGATGACCTTAAAAGCAGTGGAGCAGAGGTAAAGGCAGCTGGAAGCTCCAAAGAACCACCCCAGTGCTATGAGCCTAGGGGTCTGGGACGGCCTTTATACCAGGCACTGAAACAGGCCTACCCCTAAGTGAGAACAGTCCCCAAACCCTACTGCTTACCACACTGCTTTCTCATCTGTTGAAAAGTCCTTCTACCTAATCTGCTTCCCTTCCTGTGGAACTGGAACCGCAGCAAATACTACTTTCCTGCTGGCCAGAGGTCAGGTGCTCATCTGTCTCGCAGGAACAAGAGCCTCTTGAGGCCAAATCCAGCCTGCACAGTCACATGATCTACAGGGCTTCTCTCTACAGCCCAGGTCCTGTAAGCAATGGAGTCTGTGTAACAGCTGGTGACTGGGCAGGGACATTAGACTGGGCAAGGGTAGCATACCTCAGTGAGCTGTTGGCTGCTGCATGGGGCCAGCCAGATGGCCCATGGAGCAGCTGACCAGGTGGGGTGGGAGGTGGCAGGCATGCTCTGACTTGTGGAAAGGAACCAAGAGGAGCAGACAGCTAGCTCTCCAGGCCTGAGGCCTCCACAGCATCCATACACAGAATGCAGCCCATGCATACCTCTCTATGCCCTTCTATTCTGGGACAGTTTTCTGACATCAGTAGCTTTCTTTTCTCAAGTCCTAGACTTCTTACTTCAGCTTGATCCCCCCAAAAGGAGGTGACCAGGCAAAGATTGGGGGGAAGCGGTAGGCTGACATTAATCGATAGGAGTGTCTCTGAGCAGTTCATGCGGCCTTATCTCTCTCTCCTTTGGATAGCGTGTGTCCGCCGGAGTCCGCGGGGTCGGTGATTAATAGGGGCCATCACTCACTGTCCAGGACGGCTGAAAGGCAGCAGGGAGGGGGCGGCCCTCCCCAGAACTGAGATAACAAGCAGCAGGAATAATGAGTGGTGTCACTCCACTTTTCATTTTGATGGAAAGTCATTACGGGAGTCAACGCCAGCGACAAAGAGCCATGAATCAACTGCTCTGCTATGAAATTAAAATCGAATTGCTGGCCACCCCCAGCCCCTACCCTTCCTGGGAAATGGGGATGGGTAGGTAGCTTGGGAGAAGGGTGCTATCCTGGGGTGGGCTCTACCCAATCCCAGAGCAGGCAGTTATGGGCAGGAAGTGGACAGGCAGCTAGTGAAGGTGACAACTCCTGTCTCCACCTTGTTTATCAGACCCTGCCTCCCCAAACCACATTTCCCTTTTGCCTAGAAGGTAGGCTGTGATTACAAGGAAAATACAGCTTTGCTGGTTCCAACAAGGCTGCCTGACTGCTCCCTGTGGGCCGCTGTCTGGGGTGGTAGGAGCCTGGTTATGGGCAGAAAGGGGCCAAGTTGCCTTGGCCACCCCAAAGCCCCTTGCTGAATGATCTATGAATTATGAATGGGGATCCCTACCACTAGAAGCAAGGGGGAAAGTCTCTAACTTGGGACTCCATAGTGCTATGTGATGGCTGGATGCCACCTGGATCAGAACCTAAGAAAACAGGTGCCCAATCCAGCCCAACTGCAGGCTCAGGGAGGTGGTATAAGTGATTGACAGCAATGAATCTTTTCTTCTTTTATTAAGCCCAACTTGATAACTAGAAGCTGTGGCTTCTAGCTGACATGCCACAGAGCCAATCAAGATAGTGTCTTGCAAAGAGCAGTGAATGCCAACATCACCTCAGGTGACACTTCCTTCTCATGGCTCTGTTCCCAAGTCTGCCTGGCTTCTTTCTGGGAAGGCCCAAAGAGCCTTCCCTGAAGGCTGGGAAGCAGGGCAGAAGGCTCGGAGGGTGTCACAGAGAGGTTCCCATCAGGTTCACAGGTCGCCCGTTGTACCTCTTGGAGATGTCAGCTTCAATCTGAGAAACAGAGATACTGAATGGGTGGGGAACAGACAGGCGGGCACAGGGCCTCGTCTGTGGAAGCTGGCATCGTCCCCTGTGGCAGGCTCTCGGCCTGTCTTACCAGCTTCTGCAGCTCCCTAGTCTTCTCCAGCAGCAGGTCCAGCTTGGGTTCCAGAGCTGCCTGTTCCTGAAGTGCCTCCTGCTGCTTCTGCACCATCAGGTCCTTCTTCAAAGCTAGCAGCTGGGACTGTTTCAGCTTCTGCTGGAGGAACTCCGTCACTCGGTCCACATACCTGTGCAGGGTACCCAGGTAAATGATAAGGCTCAGAAAACCAATCCCCTAGTTAGCCTCTCCCTGTCACATCCTTAAGTCCTTTTTTTGGTAATGAATTTTTAGTAAGGGATATAAACCATTCCAGATTCCTACCTATTTGGGAAGCAGATTCTGTCTGCAGACATTGAAGCACCCCCCCCCCTCCCCCATCATGCCCTAAAGAGAAGCCCTATTCCTGGGAGAAAGCTATGTACAGGGATCACAGAAGTAGAGGAAGAATACAAGGGGACAGCTCTGCTCAAAATGGCAGAGCCCGGCATCAGGGAGCCAGACCTTGGTGATGCCAAAATCATAAACAGATGTTGCATTCGAAGATTGGTGAGCCGGCCTATCAGATCCTGCAGTGTGGATACTAGGCTAAGCATCTTCTCTTTGGTCTGGCCTTGAAGGCTGGCAGGAGCCAGGTGGAACTGGCTCACGGACAGGATGTCAGCCTCCTCACTCATCTCCACTGCTCTCTGGGACAAGAAGATCTCGAGCTGAGGAGGAATGAGAAATTGGTTCAAACCAAGAAAATAACTCAGAAGCTGAGCCCTCCAATCATTCCAAATGTGAGAATGAGCAATCAGAGCTAGACTCTGGGGGAGGGAAGCTGTCTCCTCTGAACACCTTCACTGTCAGAAACCCCACAGCTACAATGTGGGAGCAGGTGGCAGCCTCCACTGCTACTCTGGTCCCCCACACCTGTCTCATACCTACCTTCCTCCCCAGCCTGTGATCAGGTAACTGAGATTCAGGTGTTTATTTTCTCTCCATGGCAGAAATGAGAGAGGGAGTGGGAGCCATGTTTGAGAAACCCTCAATTAAGAAAAGTCTAGAAAGAATATGAGAAGCAGCCAGATCTCTAATGTAGTATTTAAGAGCAAGTCAAGCTGGGGGCTGGCTCAGCGAATAAGAGTACTGGCTGCTCTTGCAGAGGACCCAGGTTCAGTACCTCCATGAGCTCATCAATGAACTGATTCCGGGTCTCGGGGTATTCAAGAAGGGTCAGAGCATCAGGGCCCCTAGCAACACCTTCTGGAGCTGCCACAGAAGAGATAGGAAGGATCTGAGGACCAGGTTAGGAACAGGCTCTCCAGTTTGAGAGGCCCTGGGATTACTATGGATAGAGTCACTGCACTCAAGTCATCTCCCCGCCCAGTCAAAGGCGGAAGGTGACACTTTCCCATGTGTCTCAGTCTGACTCAGGCCTGGTCTGCAAACTACCAGGCAGAAGCTGGGTGGTGGCATCAGGAGGTAAAGTGTCATCCTGCACTGCCCTCTAGTGGCCTAAGTGGCTGCTACAGCCTTTCTGCTGATTTGGAGAGGCGGTCATTATCAGATTCGGGGTTCAGCCAAGTTTTTATCTGCCCACCAAATAGCTGGACCACATTTAATCTCTAAAAAGCTGAAAGTTTTTAAACTTAATTCGACCACCTTCTCTCATATCCTTATCAAGACAAGATCTCACATAGCCCAGGCCATTCTCGCTGTAGCTAAGGATGACTGAACTCCTGATTCTCTATTTTTTTTTCCTTCTGGATAGGGCACTTACCCTGGGTTCCTGCCTCTAGCACTGTGATCTGTGAAGCAGCAGTGTCGTCTCCCCAGTCTATTCTGTCGCCCCCAGCATCCTGGATGGAGAGCAAAGAACTCAGCAGCATTGGGAAATATCCCCCAGCCCAGGGAGCCAGACCAGACCAAAGCCCTTGAAAAGTTCAATGACTGTACCCTCACAGTGGTGCAAGGTCTCCAGTCCTGATGGAGTAACAAGGGTGGCAGTGTGGGCTGTGAGGATGTCACCCCATTTCTTGCCTTGGGAGGTTATGCCTACCTGTATTCACACATCCCAAACCTTAACAGAAAACAGGTCTAAACTCTGAAACATCACTTTTGCACTCTGCCTCTCTTGGAATGCCCCTGGCCTTGGAGGTATGAACTTGAAGAGATGCTTCATAGACCCAGGTGCTTTTCTAGGCTAAAGCAGGATTACAAAAGTCCTCCAAAAGACAGACCTAACCTTTGACTCTGATTCCAGGGAGATGCCCCAATCCACTGCAGTGGTCTCCACAGAGATGCCAGAGTCAGAAATGGCCTCCACTCCAAAGTCACCCCAGTCGATCTGAAAAGTAAAAACAATTATAGTTCAAATAAGATGGGTGAAAAAATGGAAAGGAGCTTGCCTTCCCACAGGCCTCAGCTGCACCTGAAGAAAACACAATCAAATGGCAACAGCCTCCAAGCTCCCACAAGAAAGGCCACTGTCATAAAACTATTTCACTGAAGGACTCCCAAGGTCAACGTGAGCCAGTTGGCTTAGCCCTCTAGCATCTGTCTATACTATGGTGTCCAGAAGACCAGAAAAAGAAAGGAGCAAGGCCTTTTGGGTTCCCCTACTTCACCAATAAATTCCCTCTCCCTTCCCTTGGGACTCTGAATTCAGGTCAGGTTTTGGGCTTTGTGTGGATGGGGCAAGCAGCTCTCACTCGGCTCCTCACAGGGCCTGTCTTACCTCATCTTCTTCCACTTGCTCAGGAGGCTCCTCCAGGTGTGGCCGCTCCACCACAGAGGGCTCTGTCCCTGTCCTCCATTCAAACACGGTTGAGTTTCCCCGCTTCTGCGCATATCGCAGCATGGGCAACACCTGCTCTGTGGGGCTTCAACAGAGCATGTTAACTGAGCCTCCCACCAACCACTTGGGAAGCTAACACAGGCTCTGGCCTGCACCACATGGTCAAATGGGCACAGCACCCACTGGTCCAAGCGTGTAAAACACAGCTCACGTGTCATGCAGAAATAATACAAGTGGAAAAGAGCAGGGAGACCAGAGAAAGCATCCCCTCCTCACCTTTCACACACAAAACCCACACAGGCCTGGTATAGGTCGATGGCTTCCCCCAGGGACTGAGCTCCTGCCCCAATCTCAGCCAGCTGACTTGGTAGGTCCTTCACCAGGGCCAGGAGCTCTCTTCGGACATTGTCCCCCTAAAGTGGGGAGAAAGAAGGAGTTAGAACACATCTGGTGAGAGACAGAATCTAAAAGGTCGAAGAAAACATCCAAAGACTGCAGAAAAGGGGGACCCTTCAAGTGTTGTAGCTGCCAAAAGTTGGCCATGCTGGGAGAGAGGGCCTCTCCTGTGGTGTCAATGGTTTGAGTCACCCATGTGTCTATGAATCATGCAACAGTGGGATGGAGAGATGGCTCGGGGTTAAGAACACTGACTGTTCTTGCAGAGGACCTGGGTTCAGTTCCTAGCACCCTCAGGGAAGCTAACAACTAACTGTCCATAACTCCAGTTCCTGGAATCCAAAGCCCTCTTCTGACCTCCTCAGACACTGCACACATGTGGTACACTTACATATATGCAGGTAAAACACTCATAGACATAAAAGAAAAAATTAATTAACTTAAAATTAAAAAAAGAAGCTGGATGTGGTGGTACATGCCTTTAGTCCCAGCACATGGGAGGCAGAGGCAGGCAGATCTCTGTGAGATTGAGGCCAGCCTGATCTACATAGTGAGTGCCAGGTCAGCTGAGGTTACAGGGAGAGCCTGTCTCAAAAAGAACCCCCTCCCCAGAAAAAATTTTAAAAAGCTGGGCATTGTGGCGCATGCCTCTAATTCCAGCACTTAGGAGGCCAAGGCAGGTGGATCTCTGTGATTTCAAGGTCAGCCTGGTCTACATAGTGAGTTCCAGGCCATCTGGGGTTACAGGGAGACCCTGTCTCCAAAAAACCAAAAAATTAAATTAAAAATTAAAAATAATTATACAACAAGGGCACTCACCGCCTGCGGAAGACATTGAACAAGAGACGAACATCATCATTTGCTCAACCAGTACTAAACAGTCACAGTATGGTGAATGTACTGGAGTAGAACAGACCACAGTGGGTAAAGGTGCTTGCTGCCAAGCCTGACAACCTGAGTTCAAGCCCTGGGACCCACACAGTAGATGAAGAGAGCCAATTCTGAAGGTTGTCCTTTGACCTTCACACATGTGCCACGGCATATACATGTCCACCCAACACACACATACAAATTATCTTAAGACTGTAGAAAGGTAAGACACTGGTCCAAGAGGGGCACAAGGCAGCTGAGAAGGAAGTTTGTCAGCAGTAGAGGAGCTGGGCCCTGGAAGATGGCCAGGCCAAGATACTCTCCCACTGTGATGAGGTGCCCACTCACTGTGATGCCATACTGCTTGCACGAGTGGTAGAATTGCTCCCGCATCTCTGCAGCACCAGCCTGGCCCTCTTCCTCCTTTCGGCTGTATTCCTGCTGCAGCTGCTGACACTTAGTGATCTGCTTCTTCAACGAAGGGATCTCATAGTTGACATTCCGAACCAGGAGGCTAGAGAGTTCCACTGGGGAAGACCCAGAAAATTCATCCCAAGACACCTACTCCCTAAGGCAAGATGCCCCAAGATACATGCAAAGATACCCTAGCATGGTAGTGAAGAGCAGGGCTGGTTTCCCAGCCTTTCCATTCCTGGCTGTCTGAATTGAGACAAGTTATGCACCCTCTCTACCCCAATCCTCAGTTGCAAAACAGGGCCATAGTGTTTGCCACATGGATCCTATAAACACCAAGCACAGGTCTCGGGAGATGGCTCAGCACCTGCTGCTCTTGCAGAGAATGTGGGTTCAGTCCCCACATGGCAGCTAACAACCATCTGTAACTCTAGTTCTAGGGGATCTGATGCCTTCTTCTGGCCTCCATGGGCACTGCATATATGTAGTGCACTTACAGCCATGCATTCAAACATTCATACATAAAATAAATATATATATATATATATAAAAAGCTGAGCATGGTGGAACACACCTTTAATCCCAGCACTTGGGAGGCAGAGGCAGGTGAATCTCTGTGAGTTCCAGGTCAGCCTGCTCTACATAGTGAGTTCCAGGACAGGTGGGGCTACAGGGAGACCCTGTCTCAAAAAGACCAAAAAAAGAAACCCCCCAAAAAACCAAACAAACCAAGCATAACCCCTTATGTTCAGCAAGTACTCAGTAAATATTATATTTACTATTCAGATACGCAATTCAAACTATGATTAACCTATTAGTTGCTCTTTCTCTCAGGCTCCCAATTTGGCCCCCAGGATAACCCCACCTCTTCTGCCTGCTGTAGAGAGAGGGTGGGGCAACACATGCTACCTTCCCAAGGGAGGTAGAGCAGGTCAGATACCTGGTCAGTCAGGCATACAAATGCCTACTACCTGCCTGCTCCTCCTTCACCCCAGCACTCTGCAGAACTGTTTCTTTATACCTACAACCAGGCAACATCTGTACTATACTCCATCCTGTTCACACAAAGACTGTGCCTATACGTTTGGTGTCTTAGAAACTCCAGGAGTGGGCTTTCCCTTGAATGTCAGAGCCACTTTAGGGTCACTTTACCTAAGTAGGTATTGTCCTTCTCATACAGGGCCACAATCTCCTGCCAGTCCTGAGTAGAAGAGAGAGAGGAAATCAGCCAGAAGAGCATTCAGCAAGCCCTCACAGCTCAATCCCTGGACAGAGGAAGCTCTCCTGGACTTCCTACCAAGACAAATACAAACTCTTGGTTCTCTTCCAGCTTCAAATGCTGGCTGGACCACCCACTTGATTCTAAGACTATGAGGCCAAACAGTGATCTCCAAAGCAACCAGTCAGAACATGTAAGCCCAGGGGAAGGGTCTGCTTTGGGATATAGGGACAGAGAAAATTCAGGAAACAGTCATTGCAAGCATCTCTACTGGATCATCAGAGACCAGAGAAGCCATGGACTGGGTGTCCATAACTGCACATTACCATTTCTTGGCCACACTTACCTTCATCCGCTGTGAAGAGTACCGGCCAAAAATATTTTTTGTTGAGGCCTCAGTGCCTTTGAGAAGGTCCACAATTCTCAGGCAGTGGAAGTAGTGAATGTCTAGAAAGCAAAAGTGAGGACTTTGAGAATTCTGTCCTTCCTCTCCTCTGCAGATGACTGACTGTGCACCCAACTGCCAGTGTCTTTAGCATGTCGCTCTTCCTTTCATCATTGTGTTGCAAGAAACCACATCTGTGTCCCAAAGAAAACTCTTTCTCTATGGTCAGCCCTGGTGGCTAAAGAGGGACAACTTGACACTCCCCTCTCCCCAAGTATCAGGGCCTCAAAGTACTCACAGGATCCAGAGAGCAACTGGGCAAGCTCTTCACTCTCTGGCATGTCCTGGATGGCCATGTTGATCTTCTCCCGGATCGTCAGCACCAGACTCTGCCATTTTAGGTTGCAGTGCCTTCTGTCCACCAGCCAGTCTACAAGAGGATCACCTAATCACAGTGTTCCTCCACGCCTCCAACTCCCCATCATTAACTCACTAATCCAAGTGTAACACACTGGCCATTGAGGAAGTCTTTGTTTTGGTTAAGGTATTGGGGGGAAGACATAAAAAGATGAGAAGACTCAGAGATGCTTAGTATAAACAGACTCCGGCGCCCCAACTTTATCCCTAGTATGAGTTTTACAGAGTAATTGCCTCAACTAGGGATAAAGAAAAACTTTAAATTGGTCCTGACATGAAAGCACCACTTTTGACCATTCTAAATTCTCCATAATATTTTGCTTCTATGGGTAATTATATCTTTCTTGTTGACAGAGGATGCTGCTTAACTTCCCTTTCCTCAGGGCTGGGATTAACCACTACAATTGAAAACACAAGGTGGATATGCCAAGTACCGGATGAATGAACAACTGCAAAGCCCCTAACACCTACAGCGCCCCAAGGACTGGGTAATGCTAGTCTATTCTTACTAGTGAAGTGCCACCCTGCACATGTGACCACCAGTGTGAGTGACTTCAAGAGCTGAGTTCAGTTTTGACACCTGAGAGCCAAGTGCAGAAGACAATTAAGAGCTAGGCTTTATAATTAGATGGTCCTAGGGTCCAATTACGGAGTTTGATTTAAATTTGTTGTCTTTTTTGAGACAGGGTCTCTCTATAGCCTCAGCTGGCCTGGACTCGCTATGTAGACCAGGCTGGCCTTGAACTCACAGAGATCCACCTGCCTGTGCCTCCTGAGTGCAGAGATTAAAGGCATGTGCCACCATGCCTGGCTTGATTTTAAATTAAAAATTTTTTTTTTACTTTTATGTGTATGAATGTATTGCCTGCATGTATGTAAGTAAGCCCTGTGTTGTACAATGCCTGCAGAGGTCAGAAGAGGGAGTCAGATTCTCTGGAACTGGAGTTACAGACGGTTATTAGCTGCCATGTGGGTGCTGGGATTCGAACCTGGCTCTTCTGCAAGAACAACCAGTGTTCTTAACCACTGAGCCATCTTTCCAGCCCCCTATATTTTATTTTTTAAAAAATGCTAAATTGCATTTATTTTTTATTTTTGAGACAGGATCTCCCTGTAGCCTCAGCTGGCCTGAACTTGCTATGTCAACCAAGCTGGCCTCAAATTCACAAAGATCCACCTGCCTATGCCTCCTGGGTGCAAGGATTAAAGATGTGTACCACCATGCCCTGCCATTTATTTATTGTGTGTATATGTGTGTGCATGCATGTGCCACAGCTCACCTGTGGAGGTCAGAGGAAAACGTGTGAGAGCCAGTTCCCTCCTCCTACCATGTGGGTCCTGGGATTGAACTAAGGTCATTTGGCTTGGCATCAAGCACCTTTACCTGCTGAGCCATCTTGCCAGCCCTCATTATCAAATTTCCTAGACAAATTTCTTCCTACCTCTCTAGGCCCGTTTTCTCACACATGACATCATGAGTGGAATGCTGAACATGGTGAGTGCACAGCCATGACTCCATAAACCTTAGTGACTCTCATTTTAATAAGTGCATAAAATGGCACCAAGTACAGAGCAAATCCTCAGTGAATGCTGCTTCATGGTGCTTCACTGGAGGGCAAACTCACACACCAGGGTGAGGACACAGGGTTTGAAGTTTAAAAAGCCAGGCATCGTGGCTCACGCCTGTAACCTTGGCACTTAGGAGGCTGCGGCAGGAGCTCCGTAAGGGGCCACCAGAGAGGCCTGAACACCTTGCCATGGTGGTAAATCTAGAAAGGTGACTCTTGTTGACAAATCTGTCAACCAATCAAATATCTCAGGCCACAATAGTATCAGAAATATTCTCTCTTCAGAAAAAAAAAATTGTGTAGATGTCAGAAATCTTAGCCAAGGGCCGAGGTCATCAAACACCATCTTAAGGACAAGATTAGCATTGGATTGATGAATCCAGTGAACATTTAAAGAAACAGGAGCTGTGCACATACCCAGATGTGACGAAATGATAAGGAAGGGTAGAAACCAGATACAGAGATGGCCTGGCCACTAAAACATCTTCATGTGTCTATATTCTGTGTGTGTGTGTGTTTCTCTCTCTCTTCGAGACAGGGTATTTGGTGGTACTTTCTATGTAAGCCAGCTGTCTGAACTCCCAGCAATCCTCCTGCCTCAGCCTCCAAGTGCCAAGGTTACAGGCATGAGACACTATGCCTGGCTTAAAAAGTCTGTACTTCTGAGTCTTAGGTCCTCTTCTCCATAAATACAACGGTAGATAGCACTTTTCAAAGGCTTTTCTCCCCCTCAAATAATGGAAAAAGCATGAACAGTGACCCAAACAGCCTGAGGGTCCAATTCAGATCTGCCACTTGGTAACTGAACAACTTTAACGCTCGACATTTATCCCATGTCCCTGAATATGATTTGATATCATGTTACAAATGTTAAAAGCAGAAAACACAGGTCCAGTTCGGCCTTTCCACATTGTTCCTTCCTGCTGCTCTCAGCGAAGCAGGTCCGGCCAGAGGAAGGCTGCCGATCAGCGCCTCCAGCCGGGTTTGCACAGCTCCCGGCTGCTGGTGACAGTGGGCAAAGAGCATGCCTCCCTCGACAGCCGGCGCGGCCGCCCTCTCCTACCGAGCAGCTTGCTGGTCTGGATGTCGATGGGCACGTGCTGATGGTCCTGGGAAACACCACCGGGAGGGGGGCGTGAACACGGGGAAGCCAAGCGCCCCGCGCACGCTCATTTCACGATCTCAACCGCCACCCTGCAGGGCCAGAGCTACGGGCGGCTGACGGGAGGGAAGCAGGGGAGACAGGACAGGGGTCCCAGTACAGTCCCCAAGCCCCGGTCCCCACACCTGCATCTTTCCTCCACGTCCGCTTCCGGCCAGAGACCTCGCCCCGCCCAGCACCAATCTGGAGAGGTGTGCCGTGAGCCTGGGTTAGGAAACAAACGGACCTCCTGGGGCCACGTCGTCGTCTCCGGAAGAGCCAATCGGAGCCCACGCCTCGCCCCTGCCTCAAGCCCCGCCCAGCGAGGCTCCAAAAGGAGGGGCGGGAGAACAGCGGACAGCCAATCGGAGACGCGAGGCGGGCTCGGGCTCGGGGGGGATTGGGGTTCTTGCACGGGGCTGCTGTGAGGGCGCGGCCCCGGCAGGGGGTGCTCAAGAACTGGTTCCGGATGCTTCCTCAGGAGCGAGGCACGGAGCTCCCTCCTGGAGGAAGAACAGGTTCATCTCCGGGTCCTAGCGCCGACCAGATGGTTTTTTTGTTTGTTTGTTTGTTTTTTTGTTTGTTTGCTTTTTTTTTTTGGAAGCACTTGAAAAATGCCTTCTTCCCCACTTTGCCTGGTTTTACCACTTACAGAACATCGTAGGTCCCTTGCCTTCCATTATTTAGTTTATCTGATAGATACCAGTTTTGAGCACCTGCGTCTTGTTGGGAGATGAGGACAGGGAAGGGAGAGGGAAAAGGGTGTGGAGGCACCCCAAAAATAACATTTGCATTGAATCTTAGAGAAAACACTGCAGAAAGAAGAGGTGACGTGCTGAAGGGGTGTTCCCAGAGGAAGAGACTGCACAAAACTTTACAGGCCACAACTGCAAGAGGGATTCAGGGAAAGACAGGCAGCCAGGACTGGCAACATTTGCCTGGCCCAGTGCAAAGTGAAATGCAAAGTTCTTAGTTTTTAAATTATGAAGGATTTCAAGAGCACACTCCAGGCATCTGCCATCTATGGCTGACCTCAAGCTGGCCTCTGTACAGTAAATGGCTCCAGGCAGGGATGACCTGAGAAGAGGCTATAAAAGTATAACGGTCTATCAAAAGGAGTTTTATTAAGGAACTTGGACTTCACCCCTGCAGACAGAGAGGAACCACTGAAAGATTTTAAGGTTTTGAGGCAAGGAGGGGCATGCACATATTGGCTGTAAGGGTGGATTAATGGGAGATAAAAACTGGAGACAGACTAGAAAGAGACTGTTATGCAGAAGTTGGGGACCTGGAGCAGAAACAGGGGTGGGGTGGGGTGGAGGGTGGAGAAAGGCAGGATTTGAAAGATGTTTAAGAGGAAAATGGACAGTATTTTGGCAATTTATTGGCTGAGTGGGTGGGGAGAGAGGCACCAGGATGACACCCAGGTGTTGGGTGGGAATGCTGTTACTTGAGATGGTGGTGCAGGATGCTGAGCAAGTTTTAGAGAGGAGGGAACCTCAGCTTTGAATTTGTGAAGTTGGCAATGCTGAGAGACTCTCATGTGGAAAGTGTGCAGAAGGTACTTGGGTATATAATGTTGGACTTTGGCCCATCATGGTTGAGGAGCCAGCATGGAAAATCACAAGCTGAGTGGTCTGTGGTCCAGTGGCAGTGGCTTCATCCAAGGGAGGGCTTCAGTTTTGGACAAGAACTGGGTAAAGAGAGAGGGTAAGATGAAGACAGTTACCCCAGGACCTCACGGAGCTGGGTGTGCTCTTTCTAAATACTGTGTGCTTTCTCCTACCTCTACCCCAATACAACAGCACCCAGGACTCAGTAGATTTTAGAGTGAACCTGAGCTGCCTGGTGTTACATAGTAGTGGGAAGACCTAGATTCTTGCCCTGTGAGATTTTGCAGTTTCCACACGTTTTCAATAGCCACAGTTTCCTCAACCCAGAGATAACACTTAGCCTCTCAGGGTATTTCTGTTTAGAGGCTTAAATAAATAAATATGCTAAATATATAGAATATAGTTTAGTTAACAGAATGCTTGCCTGGCATGATTGAACTCCTGAGCTCAAGACCCAGCACCATATAACACCAGGCATGGTGGCTCACACTTGTAATCCCAGCACTCGGGTGGTAAAGGCAGTAGGACCAGAAGTTCAAGATTATCCTGGGCTACATAGTGAATTTGAGGCCATCTTAGGGTACAAGAGACTCTGGGGTTTTTTTTTTTTTTTTGGAGGGGTTGTTTTTTTTTAATATTATTTTTATTTTATGTGTGTGAGTATATTGTCTGCATGTATGTGAGTTCACCCCTGTCATGCAATACCTCGGAGGTCAGAAGAGGGCTTTGGATTCCCTTGGAACTGGAGTTAAGGACAGTTCATAGCCGCCATGTGGGTGCTGGGATTTGAACCTCTGAAAGAGCAGTCAGTGCTCTTAACCGCTGAGCCCTCTCTCCAGCCCAAGATACTGTCTTTAAAAAAAAAAATGGAGGCAGAGGCAGGTGTATCTCTGTTGCCAGCATAGTAAGTTCCAGGCCAGTCAGGGCTACATAATGAGAGCCTGTCTCAAAAACAAACAAGGGGGCTCAGCAATTAAGAGCACTGACTGTTCTTCCAGAGGACCCCAGTTCAGTTCCCAGCTCCCACATGGTGGCTAACACTGATCTCTAACTCCAATTCCAGGATGATGCCCTCTTCTGCCCTCTTCAGGCAGTGCACACACATGGTACACTTAAAATAAAATAAAATAAATTAAAAAATTAAAAAACAGGGGCTAGAGAGATGGCTCAGCAGTTAAGAGCACTGGCTGCTCTTGTTAGAATCCCAGCACCCACATGGTGGCTAACAACCATCCCTAACTCCAGTCCCAGATCCAATGCCCTCTTCTGGCCTCCATGGGCACTGCATGGCATGGGTGCACTTGCATAAATGCAGGCATAACACTCATACACATAAAAAAAGAAAAATTGGGGGCTGGAGACATCTCTTAGTGGTTAAGAACACTAGCTGCTCTGGCAGAGGACCTGGGTTCAGTTCCCAGCACCCACATGGCAGTTCACAACTGCCTATAGGTCCACTTTCAGGATGTCTGACATCCTCTTCTGGCCTCTGTGGGCACCAGGCACACACATGGTGCACATGCATACATAGAAGCAAACACAGAGAAGATAAAAATAAAATATTTTAATTGATTAAAAAATAATAAAATTTAAAAAAAAATTTAGGGGCTGGAGAGATGGCTCAGGAGTTAAGAGCACTGATTGCTCTTGCAGAGGACCCAGGTTCAATTCCCAGCACCCACATGGCAGCTACGAACTGTCCTTAACTCCAGTTCCAGGGGAATCCAAAGCCCTCTTCTGACCTCCGTGGCATTGCACGACAGGGATGAACTCACATACATGCAGGCAATACACTCATACACATAAAATAAAAATAGTAAAGTATTTTTTTTTCAGGATTTTAAAGTTTGTATTTTACGGTGGGCAGCTGTCATTTGCTCCAACAGCCATTTGAAGCCAATAGTCCTAATTATTAAAAATCACAAAGTTGTATAAGTGTTCTCCTCCTCTTTGAAAGCCATGTTCATTCTCTCTCCATGACACAGGGCTGTCTGCAAAGCCTTGAACTGACAAGGTGATCCGTGGAGCTAACTTTGGTTCATCAAAGTAGTGACACAGCTGCTCTAGCAGAACATAGATCTTCTCTGGAAGTATAAGGCCGGTGATTGTACACAGACAAGCTTTGGCTACCACTGTGCTTGGCTGGGGACAGCAATAGGTTGATATGAAATCATTAGACTCATTATTCAGGTCCGCATTGCAGAAGACTGCGCCAAGCCAGTCGAAGAGCTCCAGGGCACTGCAGGCCTCCTCGAGCTCTCCTTTGGGCTCACTGCTCTGCAGCACTGGGCACTGCAGCTCTCTCACTGTGTTCAACGTCACTTTGGGCTGATGCTCCTGAATTTGGTATTTGGAAAAGTATGATATCATCGTTGATTCTTCTGTATGATGCCAAGACAAAAGAAAATCAAATTTCAAAGGCTTCTTTTCTTTGAAAGACCAAGATATTCTTTCAGATTTCTTAGAATCCGGGTGAAGGGATAAATCCATCAAATCAATGGAAACAATAAATTTCATAGTTTTTCTGCCAGAATACTGAGATGGACTACCTTGAAGTCCAGTTTCTTCATAAGTATCTTTATCCAGGGATAAAATTAATTTCCCATTTGGTAGGAGGGCAACAGTATTATCTTCATCAATACTAGTATTGTATGTTAATGCACAGCATGAACCTTTCTTTACAAAGGTGTTGATGAATTCATGCGTAATTCATTCATGAAGAGGTAAGTTCTTCACAGAGTAATAGGGCCCAATTTCCTTTCAGTTCTTTTGATAGTAGCCCACATTCAGGAATAAGAAATGAAACTCTGTAATTATGATAGTGCGTCTCCACGAGATGCCGGTGGCGCGACTTGTCGTGGCTGAAGTTGGATTTCTCACAGACCAGTAAGTGCCGGGGCGTCTCTCGCAGAGTACGCAGCGTGGACATGCTCGCGGTTCCCAGTGCTTCTCACCTCCGCCAGCTCGGTACCAAAAATAGTAGTTTTTTTTTTTTTAATTTATTATTTTCATTTTATGGGTATGTGTGCACTGCCTGCATGTAAGTTAGTGCACCCATGTCGTGCAATGCCTACAGAGGACAGAAGAGGCTGTCAGATCCCCTGGGACTAGAGTTACGGACAGTTGTTAGCTGTCATGTGGGTGCTGGGATTCAAACCTGGGTCTTCTGCAAGAAAGACCAGTGTTCTTAACCGCTGCGCTATTTCTCCAGCCCCCAATAGTAAAGTATTTTTAAAAAATCTTAAAGGGGGCTGAAGAGATGGCTCAGTGGTTAAGAACACTGGCTGTTTTGCGGAATACCCAGGTTTGAATCCCAGCACCCACATGGTCGCTAACAACTATCCATAACTCCAGTTCCAGGGGATCTGACACCCTCTTCTGACCCCAACAGGCATTGCATGACACAGGTGCACTTACACACATGCAGGCATAACATTCATACACATAAAATAAATAAAAATAATTTCAAAAAATTAAAAACAGCTAGGTATGGTGGTGCACGCCTTTAATCCCAGCACTCAGGAGACAGAGGCAGGTGGATCTCTGTGAGTTCGAGGCTAGCCTGGTGTACATAGCAAGTTCCAGGTCAGCTGGGGCTACAGGGAGAGCCTGTCTCAAAAAGACCAAAAAATTTTAAAAATAAAAACAATTAATTAAAAAACAGGCTGGAGAAATGGC